CAGAAACGATGTTGTAGACACATATATAGGATTCTTTCACGACGAGCTCTTTTCAGAATTCTGCGTGTCATGTCATAATCAAACATTTTCATTTATTCAAAGAAAAAAATATATATATATATATGATAAGAAGAAAAAAAAACGATATTAGAAGAAAATCAATGAAGGGTGAAGAAAATCAGGCCTAAACTAATTATAAGATCCTGCCTAATTGAATTATTACATGACTAAGATCAATCAAGAACACTGACTGTAGAGAAGGGAGAAAAGTAATAGAAATTATAATTAAAAATATAATTGAAAAACGTCAAGGCACATAGTTCATGCTCTTTGATGATAATGCAAGAAAGAAAGATTATTTTTTCACTTTACTGCCTGAAAAAATATAATTCTTGAGGATTTTATTATAATCTGAATGTATTAAAAATCATTTAAATTCTACATATACTAATATGATAAACCAGACAAAAGTGTTTTTTTTTTTATTTGTTAGGCCCTATTTATAAAACGCCAAAAACACATTTTTTATTTTCCAAGGGAACATAAGAAATTTAGAAAATACTGAATAAATGTATTTTGTGTACTAGTATATATATCATAGAATATTGATTTAGTTTATCAAAATATATCAGAGAAGCAGAAGCTTTTTCCATTCTGATTATGAAATCTTCCAAGCAGGAAGTTATTCTGTGATGTTTAGAGAAATGCTTCTGGAGAAAGCACAAAACAATGCCCAGATAGATAAAGACATCTGCTGAAAAATATTGTCTTTTCTTCAGCAACAAGAAAAGGATAGCAAGCCGTCCCTCGATTCTTTGGAATATGCTTGGAAATACAGATCTTATAGCTCATAATGGGATGAACAAAATTGCCAAACGAGGCAAAATACAATTATTGTTGTCAAAGAACGTCATCATTATTTGACGTCATACACGAGGCTCGCCTGAAATTGGGACATGCAGGACAAAATATATTGACTAAGGGCTTCAATAGTCATTATTTAACGTGACACGGGACAGCATAATGCTTTTTCAGGAACTTTATGAGAGCTGTCAACTGAAAAAAAAAAAAAGTGAAGAATGATATAGTTGTGACCCCCCCTTGTTATCCCACCTGATGAATTCATGCTCTCAGGTTTATGTGATCGACATGCAAAGTCAGGTTGACAGAGAATACCGATTATAATGGTATCATCTCACTAAATTTGTGGTGTTGCGCCCCTAAAAAACAAAAACAGTTGAGGAGGTAGCTCACCATCTCTTGCATATTTTCAGTGATAAAGGTGCACCAAAGATCCTCCAAAGCGATCAATTTCAGGGAGTTTGACATATAATAATTTTGGAGCTTCTTTCTATGTGGCCGGAATGCAAACTTGTACAGAGCAAACCCCGACAATGGCAGTCGCAGGGCTCAGTGGAGTGAGCAAGCCGAGAGGTCCAATATATTCTTATGATGTGGCAACGTGACAACAAAACTACAAAGTGGTCGGATGGTCTATTGTTTGTTCAATTTGCGAAAAATCGTCGATTCCGCTACGGTTTAGGGCGTTCTCCTTATGAAGCCATGTATGGACGTCCGCGACAGTCGGACTTGAAGGAATGCATTTGGAGAGTGATATCAGCACACAGGAGCAGCTCTTAATATTTATCGGGATAAGGATCCAAAAGAGTCTGAACATAATTATGAGGAGAATACGCAAGATAAAGAAATTTGTGTATTTGCCAAGAAATTGTACTGCCTCCACAAAGTTGTTCGTTCTGTCAACTTGACTGCCGTGCTAAACAACCTTGTAGCATTGCCCTACAAGAAAATTGCCAAACGAGAGAAGTGTGGCTACAATTATGCAGCAAAATAAAGCAGCCAAAATGATGACCTCTCGTCCTGACGTTTTCAAGCCACAGTTGTCGGGCAATGTGTTCAAGTTGCAGTACCGGGGATAGACCGTGGAAAGACAAACCCTAGGAACGTATTGGCTATTGTCCTAGAGATAACTGAATCTGGGCTCTATAAATTAGGGACAAAGAACGGAGTTTTAAAGCAGCTCTAGCAAGAAACCAATTTAATCCTTGTAAGCAGGCATTCCTCAGTATTGAAGATGTTCCGAGAAATAAGGAAGTGGCATTATGTAAAACGACATTAGTTCTTGCTGAAGGAAAATGGGCAAGGCTTTCAAATGTGCAATTGTAAGAAATCGAACAGTTGTGATACCAAAAGGTGTAACACGGAGTGGGAAGAATTTATCCACCGGGACAATTATGCCCTTGCCAGCGTTATACAGGCCCCAATATGCCATTGGGAGGCTTTCAACGGCCGTTCATCTTTCTTGAGGCCAGCGGCCCACCGGGAATAGTCCCGGTGCTCCCGGTGGCCACTCCGCCCCTGGGTGTAATTATAAGAAAAGCTCTATAATAGTAAATGC